TTTTAAATTCTTATTCTCGACGTCACTATGAAACAAGTTGTAATAATAAAATAATTTTTTTAGCTGTTTTACAGAATTATGATTAAAAGTCACTCCGATGTGACTCGACCAGATTTTTAACAGCGATTGATTAAACAATCTGAATAACTTGCCAAATTTTTTTTGCTGCTACTTTTGTTCTAGATATATCCCGAAATTCGGAATGTTTCAAATTTACAAGATTAATGCAATTCACGCAGTCCTTGCTAACATTGTAAAATCGACAAGTTTCTAAAATAATTTTACAAAATTTTACAAAATAAAAAGAGGCACTTGATCTGAGTAAGTTTACATAAATTTATAAGCTAACCTTCCCTCGAAATATTTGCAAAAATATTTGCAAAAAATAATTTTGGACGGGATAAACGAAAGCCTGCATGTTGCAAAAACCTTAATACATTTTACATATGTGTATTATTCAAAATATATTTCAAACGGTTTCAAACCATGCCTTTGAGGAATTCACGTTAGCCTTCGTAACCAAGGAAAAACTTACGAACATCAGCTTGCTACGCAAAAGCATGCCTTTTATCTTCGTAAGGTTTGTAAGTTCGTAAGCAAAAATTGCCTTAAAAATGTTCGTATGTTTAGCCAAAATTTCGTAGGTTTCGTAATTTTACGTGGTTACGAAGGTTGACGTGAATTGTCCCATTGTTTAATACAACAATTTTTAAAATCACCCACACAGTAATAAATATTTTCACCCATCTTTCCCACACAAATTGGGTCATTTACTCCCAAATTTTCACCCCATTTTGCTTTTGCATCAAGGCAAATAACAAATTTCCCTGGTGAAAGCTGTCTGCAAAAAGTGAAAGCATTTCCATGTCGTTATTTTCATCCCGGATTCCATTCCCGTGATGAAACGGGATCCGTCCGATGATTTTGTCGCTTTTACTTTCTCTGCTCGCTTTTAAATCTAAAACGAATAATGTGTTCGCTTTCTGGGCTGAAATGCAATTAATAATCCGTTATACTTTCCTAGCTTTAGGCTTGGACTTTCTCCGGGCGGGCTGAATTTCGGTCGGATTTATTTCCATGATACATATGCAAACAATCGGTTTAATTTGAATATAATGGAAGTAAATAGTTCGGTAGGATGTGTTATTATTGCCAAATCTGGAATTTGGTATACTGTTAAAAATCTAGTAGAGTCGGATATATACTCCTTACTGGTATTGATTTGGTAATAAAATCCTTCCGGATTGGTTGTAGTTTGTTTCTGAGTGGTAAATTTTTTATTCCAACAATATTACTAAATGGTAATGCCCGTGATTACCGATACCAGTAGAATCATATATGTACCAGAAATGATTTAATACGCAAAATTTTAACGTCATTCACACCATGATTGGTAAATTGATAAGTAAAAATTATTGACTTAATGAATTGAACTTTTAAGAATTACTAATTGACAAACTTTTAATATGCAGTGGATTTTTTTTAATGAAAAGGAATTTCAAATAATTTTTAAGTTATCAGGTCCGTCAATAAATAAACCACAAAAAGTACGTGTTTCACCTTCAAAAAAAATTTTAATTTCTTCCTTTATACAAAATATTTTAACCGGTTTGAAATCATGTCAAAAATTACAACATTTCGCCAATCATTCGATGGCAGATTCTTGGCACATTTAAAAAATACAATTTATCAACAAATTTAATGTGAATGATTCAATATAATTTAAATCTCTAAGTCAAAATTTGATCAGCTTTTCGTCAGCTTGAAATTAGACCAAAAATTTTCAAAAATTTCGACGTAAATATACAATTACTCCAACATAAGATAGAGCGTTAGAGTTCGATTTTAATTTAATTGATCAAAATTATCGAGATTATAAAAATATTCAGAAATTTGAATAATTTAATTGTCAAAATTGATATTTATGCGAATTTAAATTTAAATTAAGACTTAATTAGGTAAATAAAATTTCGAGTGTTCCAATTCACCTGGAATGTATTAATTAAAATAAATTTAAACAATCGGACCCGGTCTTGAAATCAATTTGAGTTATGTTAATTAATTTAACTAAAATCTTTTACCCACATTTTTTTTCAAATTGTTGCTAAACATATCGGTAGTATACGGTAACAAATTGATTTCAGGTTGGTAGCAAATTTTTATTTCACCAAAGGTAGGGAACATTTATTACCAACACGTCAAACCTGCATAGATTTTATTACTAACTTACTTATTTTTAGTGTAATAAGCTTACAATAGCTTATACAATATTGCACCTTAATTTCATGCACTTAAAATACTGTGGTAAAACTCTATTACCAGTCTACCTTATGCATATGTCGAAGTTTAACCAATCTGGTAAAAAATCTCGTCCCATTTTATCCCGGTTACGCATTTATCAGAAAATTTAGTAAATTACTTTTCGCCTATGCACTTCAAAAAGTTGGAAATAATTAATCATACAAGCGTTAAATTCGGGGAATTTTATTACCTGACAGAACTACACAGTATTTACATTTGTAACATGTTTTTCTGACAATTTAAGTAGGACGAATTTGTAAAAAAATGAAATTTGGGATAAATCCCATTACCACATCAAAATAAGTTGGAAACAAAAATTGTCTCATATACGTGTTATGCGTGATATCGCGTTTGCAACAATAAATATTTGCCAATAATCACATTGAGGCAATTCACACAGGCCTTGGTAAAATTGTAAAATCCGTAAATACCATAAACTTCTATAAAATTTTACAAATATTGCAAGGAAAATTGGCTTACACATTTTTCTAAACTTATGTATTCAAATCAATGACATCTCTTTATTATGTAAAAGTTTGTAAAATTATTTACAAAACTTGCAGATTGTACAAAGTTACCAAGGACTGCGTAAATTGCCTCGTTATATTCTACAGTGGTACACACACATATATAAAGTTTGTCATTTCCCCGAACTTATTATTCGGTAACAATTTGCTACCAAATTATTTGGGGTGCGGACACATCATAACTTAGCAACGACGACTTTCTCCCCTTTTTCCCCTACCACTTGATACTTTCTCTTTTTTTCAAGTATAATAAACAAACATGGATAAAGCGAAATAGTTGTTCGGATCCAATTCCAGCTACTTTCTCCCTGTTTTGCTTCATTTTTTTGTCAACACAGGATATTTATTACGTTCTAGGAAAGAGCAAGGCGAATTATGGGGTTTGTTTGATCTGTTTCTGTGCTCTTTTCCATCCTCCAATTGTTTATGTGTACATGTCACGAAATGAAATAGAATCAGGGTTATTTTATTTGCACTCTTAGAAATTTTGAAATCAATTTTTATTCAGATGCGTTACCAGCTTGGTAATAAGTATTTTACAGAAAACTAATAGTTTCTTATCGGATGAAATTACTAGATTTTTTTTACGCACATATCGTCTTAAACGAAAATGGTCTCATTCTGTTACCAAGTTTGTCTTATGTTGTTAGGAAATTTGTCTCATTTCGTTACCAAATTCGTGTATTGTTTTTACTTTGCCAATTTTTAGGCCATATTTTGTAATGAAATTCTCATGCAAAAAATGTTGCTACAAAAATTTGGTTACAAATTTAGCTTTAATTTTTTTTATTTTACATCATAATAATACGATTCATCGGACGATTTTATCAGGATTTGTATGTCTGTGAACGAAAAAGCACTGATCTCATCGAATGCATGACCACATATCGTCATGTTTATTACGAGGTGGATTTATTCCATAAAGCCCATCAGGCGAACTCACTTCAATCTTAATTCTATCTATTCACCCATCGGGTCAAAGATTAACTAAATTACACCCGAAATAAGTTGATACCAAAAATGTGGCTCAGTTTTGCTGAGATAATTTTTACAATGATGTGCATTACAAAAATTAACTCGTGTAGTCAATAAAGTTTAGCATAATCCGTATTATCAATTACCACGAAAATCCCTACGGATAAGTGTCATATAATCATAAAGCTTGCGATTCATTTATATCAGGAGAGTTTAAAATGCATACAAAATTATGGATTTCGTTAATAATTAATCATTATATTTACTAAATTTTGAATTTAGAATTAAACAACGTTACATAATCCAAGTTCTTTAAAATTTCTGCCTCTGTGTTGACGACATTGCAATGTTTCGACGTCAAGAGATTTAGTACATAAATGTTCATTCAAATAAATTATTCATTTTGTAGTTGCGTCACATTATAAAATTCCGATAACATAGTTAATTCAATTAAGGACAAATTTATTAATACAAATGGGACGGTGAATTAAGTTTCGCTTGTGGATCATTAATGACACAATATCCTAATTTGCCAAATTTGCTAAAAATTCACCCAAACTTATGTAAAATGTGATGATTCAGTTTATTATCTACTAGGTTTATTAGTTCAGTTTATTTTGCCTAACCAGGATTATAATAATCGCATAAATTATGTTAATTTCCAGTATTTGTAAAGAAAGGCGTGATATTAATTGCAACCAATTAAATCTAGGATTACTTGTATTTACGTCATCGTGCTCGCGGAACTTGTGGAGACATTAATATTGTGCATATGTAGAATTTAACCGATCATAATTTAACATTTTTTCCAACCATGATTAACATACTTGTACGGAATACTTCCTTTCATTCATCATTAAGAAAACCAGCCTCAACCAGAACCAAATGATATAGGGGAGACAGTGGAAGACAGTGCTTCTGCTGTTAAGACACCTGCATGAAATTAGTGCACAATATGGTTTGTAAACGTTTAATAAAATTCTGGAGAAGGCAGGAAAATCCAATGAAATGCAAAGGCTTACATAACGTGGATGATTATTAAATTGAATGACACGTGGGCACCGCCCCCCTGTTCCAATTCTTCCACGGACACTGGTCATCCAAATGTTTTTTATGGCTAGATTAGAAATCCGGGTGACCCATAAAGCACTTCAAAAACATGTTTACTCATACATATATAAAGAATTTTATTAGTATTGGAGGTGAGTGCCTAAAATAATTAAGCATCCACGACTATCTTCATATATACGCATCAACATTCGTATCCTGATTCAGTGATAATTATCCTACCACAGTTTAATATTTATTTGACAGGTTTCTTGGGGGTATTAAGTAAGTATGAAGTACTTAATTTTGGCTGTGGCTCTAATGTTGGTGAAAGGCGTGACTTCTCGCTCCGCACAAAGTGAGGGTATGAGATTTCTTTCTCTACTGTTCCAACTGCCATAAGAGTTCCAAGTAATCCACGATTACATTAGCTGAATAAGCCAAACCGCATTAGGTGTTCTAAATTATTTGACACTAGTTTGTCTTATTTTGTGGTGAAAATCATACAATTTCCCAAATTCCAGACACACACGGCTAATGTAATCGTGGATCACGTGGAACTCTTGTACCAAATGGAACAGCATAATAATTATTGAATCAATGTCGACTATTACAAGTCTATATAAGTATTTATTATTTATCTGAGAGTTTATAATAAAATTATTCATTATTTGGTGTAGAAATCGTTTCTCAAACTCGGAATGGAATAAACTTTGCGCTAACTTATATTGGAACCTTTAATCAAAAATTGTACTACCATGATAAAGTCGGGGTAAGGATTTTAACCCGATTCAGATTTGTAAATTAAAAGGGTTTGCATGATTAACACTAACAACACGAATGAATACGGCCCTGCTTTTGATTAACAAACAAAATATTCATAATTGCAGGCTAACAACGACGATGCTCGATCCAACTGCAAAAGTATGGGGATGCGATTGTTGAAGTTTGAAGCGATAGAGGAAGTTGGGTGGATTGCTAATGCAACCGCAAATTCAGGCAGTAAAAATCTAAAATTTTTGTAAAACTAATATCGACTTTTGTGTAAACTGGTACGAAAATTGCCACGGACTGTATGCAATAAGGATCTCCAACTACAAGCTGTAACTTTTCCGATTTAATTTAGCCAGATTCCGAAAATTAAAGAACACATTTTTTTAGTTATTCAAATCGGGATACAATTCGAAAATTTGTAGCGTTTCGAAAAATTCTGATTTAGGCTGAAAATTAATTTAAAAATTCCGCCACTAGCCACAAAATTTGATTCCATGGGATCATGTCCCGAGGGAAGATTAGTTACAATACATCAATCAACTAAAAACGCGCATTCAATAAATGTGAAAGTTGAGATGTTTTATTCTGTAGATTTATTTATAGAGACTTTTTATTTTTTGCATTCCAATTACACAGCTGAGATTTGGACGGACGGGATGACTCACATTGTTCCCGCGTCATTCGAATGGAAAACAACTGGGGCTAGAGTTTCGGACTCTTTGAGTCTGGTAAAGGGTCATTATTACGGGCGGATCATTTCTGTGACCAGTGCAACCGATCGTACATTTCTATTAAATAATTTCTACCTTTGAGTGTATCACTAAAAATACATTTTCTAGGCCCAGCATGGACTGACGGCGTAATTAAAGCTGATCCAGGTTCATACCGCTGGTTTTCTGATGATTCGCCTCTAATAAGTCAATTAAAAATTGGGTACGTCGCCCTTGGCTTGGAAATTCGAGACGGGACCGGCTTGTACACTTGGAATAATGAAGTAAACGCCCTCCGGAGTTATTTGTGCTATGCCGAAACTTCATAAAATTATTAAAGTGGAACAAATTATTTCAAGAGAAATTCTTTAATTAAAATTGTATTGTATTGTATTTTAAACCTTTATTCAACTGTCAACAAATATCAGCTAATATAAGCTGGTTTCCAATCCATGGCAGAGTTGCTATAATATAAAAGCCACTAACTATGTCTACTATAATAAATTTAATAATATAAGTAACAGTATAAAATATAATTTATAATTTATAAAATTATTTCTCAATACTTATATAAAAACCATCAAGAGTGAATGAGCATCTAAAATGGCACGACGGTACATTTACGTAAAACTGTTTTATGTTCAGTAAATATCATGGTTTTTAATATGAGATGCATTGTGCCGGTACACATCTATCAGGCTGGCTTACTTTAATTAGAATAAACACCTCCTAACCACTCAAAAATTTAGCTAAATGATACTAACAAGTCTAAATTATTCCCGTATTGGTAACGATTTGGGATGGAGTTTGCAAATTTGCCTATTAGTAGAAAATCTTAATTTAAATTTAAAGAGGAATTCTCGGATGACATGATTGAAGGAAGAAATTTAATTTTACACTGCAAAAACTCCTATCGGTATTTCAGTATGGACGATCCGTCCATACTGAAATCGCATTGCGTGCTATTCATGCGGGTTTTGAGTTTGAATTGTTGTGTCTCAGCTTTCCTTTCTTCTATATATTCAAATTGAAATTGTGAAACCTGTTCATCTCCGTGAGTTTTTTGCAATATGAAGATTTTATTTAATGTACCTAAAAATCGATAATTGTTAGGTTTACAAAGTTGGGATGGTTTGATTTTTTTCTTCTATGACAAAATAAATATAAAATAGACGAAAAATAATCAGTAAAACTTAAGGCTTTTCTCATGGAAGAAAAAAATCAAAATCACACCATCCTAACTTTGTAAACCTACACATTATCGATTTTTGGGTTCACTAAATTCTTCATATTGTAAAAACCTCACAGTGATGAACAGGTTTCGAAATCGCCGTTTGAACATATGGAAGATGGGAAAGTTGAGACACAACAATTCAAACTGAAAACCGCATAATACGGATGGTTCGCAATCGCAATGCGATTTTTGATACGTCCGTACTGAAATACCGAAGGGCGTTTTCAGAGTGTATATGCTAACTTTCATTCCGGGGTCCAAACATATGTATAATATTATGATTGATATTGTCTCATAATCAGTATACGTTTTGCTGAGGCAGGATTATCATAATCGCAGAAATTGTGAATTTCGATTGCATTAAACCCAGGTCGCGATATGATGTGAATCTTGGATTAATTGTATGTATGTACGCCATTCATTCGTCCTGATAAAGAGATTTCCGCAGATCGAGAATTCCAGTTACTTAAACCACTTCAAAAACGGGTCTTCACATATAAAAAGAGTTGTACGACGTTTCTCGGTGTCCAATTTAAGTATCCACAACCACAAGTTTGAAATTCGGTGAGTATGTTCGCTAATTTCTAAACGTGGACAAAATAAACAAATTTTCAAGATTTGTAGAATTTCATTTCATTTTAAAATAAAAATGTCAAAATTTCAATATTTAGTTGATTTTAAATAAAAAAAACCCTATTTTTCCGAATAATTTTCACAAGAAATTTTCGATTTAACTTCATTCCGTGATAATTTGCTCATCGCATGTTAAGAAATTTAAATCTACGTATTTAAATATGATTTGTATTTTTCAGGTTTCCATAGGCGGAATTTGTGGGGGTAATGAGTATGAAATACTTAATTCTTGCTGTGGCCATCATTTTAGGAGAAAGTGTGACTTCTCACACCACACAAAAAAAAGGTATGCGACTTTTTTTTCCAATGAAGAGTACTACTAGTTAATATGAGTATTAGAATGAGAGTTTATCATAATAATCTATATACATCATTTGGTGTAGAGATCACTTCGCAGACTCGGAATGGAATAAACTTTTCGCTGACTTATCTTGGGACATTTAATCAAAAATTGTACTACATTGATAATATAGGGGTAAGGATTCAGCAAACCGATTCATTGTCAAATTAAAAATATTTTACATCTTAAAAACACTTGTAAATAAATACAGCCAAATATTGGTCTGATTTTGGTTTAAAATAAGCGATATATTTTTAAATTGTAGGCTAATTATGCCGATGCTCGATCCAACTGCCAAACTATGGGGATGAGGTTACTGAAGTTTGAGGCGATTGAGGAACTTGCCTGGATTGTTAACTCAGCTCCAAATTCAGGTACTAAAAAACTAAAATTATTATAAAAACAAAATCAATTTTAACTGGTGATCGGGTGATAAAATGTCCCAGAATGTGTGTAATATGGATCGTTACCAAATTGGTAACGACTACTTTAACAGTAGAAGTTTTAAAGAGATTATAATTCGGTGCAGTCTAAATAAACCTGGTAACCGACATTACCAGGCGGTTACTACGTATATGTGACACTACAGGGATGATAATAAATTGGTTAGGGACTGACAGGAAAACAACGCGGATTGTACCTATTGCCTGCGCGGTAACAACTTTACTACCAACCTGTAAGAAATAATTACCAGAGCTGTATCATATACACTCAAAATAAGGTAGTAATGAATCATTACCAGCCGGAATGACTATGTGGCTCTACCACGTCGGTTACGATTTGTAGTAGAAATGGTAATAGTAGGTCCAGGGAAACTCAAATTTAATACATAATGGTATTCACTTCCTTAATATTTGGTAATGATTTTGGATTTCCCTGAAATTATTATTACCATTTCTATTACAAATCGTAACCGACGTGGTAGAGCCACATAGTCATTCCGGGTGGTAATGATTCATTACTACCTTATTTTGAGTGTAGTCACCGCATGGTAATAGCCTTGTTACCGGATTTTTTAGAGTGTGCAAAACTGCTTCATAGCATAGAGACATATAATATGTATCTATATCACAAAAATATTATTTTTATGGTATGGGGTTACGCGAAGCCTGCGGGGCTTGGTCAGTACCCACTAAGCACAGCAAATCGGCGATTCTACTAGAATTTACTATCAACTACAACTTTTTTAAATTATAATTATGCAGTCAACATTTGGACGGACGGGATGAGTCATATTGTGCCCGCGTCATTCGAATGGAAAACAACTGGAGCTAGGGTTTCGGACTCAGTGACCGTGGTAAAGGACCTTTATTACGGGCTCCTGTTCAAACGCGGCACACAGGCTTTAACAGAAAGGGACCGGGGTGCCGTTAATCCATATGTTTGCTACATGATTCTTTCCCAGGTACAACAGATTCCTCAAGTCCCTCTGGGAACGTCCGAAATCGGTATTGTTTTAATTTTTTACCAGTCTATGTCCATGGCTGATAATATGTTCTACGAAATTGTTACGGATACTGTTTTGTATTTAAATTTATTTTCTTTTAAAATTCATGTCATGCGTCTGGAGCAGTGATTTAAACTAATTTACCCGCTCAATTTCGTTTCTCCAAAAACTTTTGCCAACTAATCACTTTAACAAATTCTATAACTAAAAATTGATTGAAATTGATTGAAATCAATTATATATTAACTCGAAGATCAACTATTAAAATATGGCTCAGAGATTTAAAAGTCGCATTTACCCCAGTGCAAGGAGAACAGATTACCTGTGTACCGAATGTCGTTCAAATTTTGTTACAAACCGTGACTGATAACAGTTTCGCAAAACATTTTATAGCTTAATAACAATCTTCGTATTATGGTTGTATATTACAATATTCTCAGAAACAATTTGTAATATAAGAGGGATTACCCAATATTGTTATCACATCCGTGGATACTTTGGATGAAAATGTGGGACCTTTGCCAAAATTATCGTTCATTGGAAGATATGGAAAAAAGTCGTTTTTCCTCGAGTCTGGTATAAAGGTATGACATGCTAATTTCATTTATAAATTTTATTAATTTCATGTAAATTAGTTAATCAGATTTTAGCGTTACGTAATGTAATGTAGCTAGTTTATCTTCGCTACCACAAAAGCATACTGACTGCTCCCTAATAACTCGTTTCGGTCATTAGTAGACAACTGAAACTCTCAATACTTTACATATTTTAACACAAAATTAAGAAATCTTCAAAATTTTAGGCGAACCAACCAGATGCACGAAGCAACTGCACTGCCATAGGAATGAAGCTAGCTACAATCGACTCACAAGCGGAACTGGAGTGGATCGTTTCTATGACTAGTGATTCAGATCGTATGTTTTCAGCTGATAATTTCATGGATGTACCACTAAAAACATTTTTTCTAGGTCCAATATGGACTGACGGTGTAATTAAGGCTGATCCAGGTTCATACCGCTGGTTTTCTGATAATTCACCCCTGCTGAGTCAGTTGAGAATTGGATACATCGCGATTGGTTTGGAAATTCGAAACGCAGCGGGATTGTACAGTCGGAATAATGAAAGTTTCAGCCTCCGAAATTACTTATGCTATGCTGAAACTTCATAAAACTTTTGCAAATCAGCTAAAGGAATGTTTAAAGTATAATAAACTTAAAGTTTTCCAAATTATTTGTCAATATATATAAATTTTAAAGTGCATAGTTTGCATATTTGATGGACGCTCTTACTCTCCAATTTTTAAGTCCGAACAAAAACGTTGATCTCATTGATTGAATGAGTGACGTAAATATAACGATTTCTAGCATTATTATTAGACGAATTCCTCCGGTATTTATCAGGCTCAGTCACTTCAATTATATAAATATCTCCTAACTTGTTTGATCTTATCCAGTAGCAATCTCAACTTCCCAAATTTTCACAAAATAAAGCTATCCTCATAACCAAACCCGTGTAATACGTGTTTCAAATAAGCATGTGAAATTGTGTTTGTTTGTAAACTTTATCACTTTACAATTTCATTCAGCCTCAAAGATGAAATTATAAACCTCTTCTTAAATTGTTTTGTTAGAATTCTCAAACTGGTAATCTATTTGACATTCGCGATTGAAACTTGATAATTTTTTAAATTTGTGCTAAAATGTTGAAAATTCATGAATTTAATTAATTCTAAATATTCAAAGTCTCCCATTCCTCCCACATTTTAGGTCAAACATTAAATCCATTTATTCATGCCAAATCATCACCACAAAAATTCCAAATTTTATTTCAAATTATAAAAAATATAAAGATCAAAATTTCTTAAACAATGAATAAATCTTCCTCCTCCACTTCCGGTTGTCGTTCCTTCTTATGTCCCCCCGTTCCGGATGCGAATCCCTTCACGGAAGAATTTTTTCCTGAATTCCCTCCCGTAAATGCGATCGTTCCAGTCGACACGGAGACCGTCTCTTCTTGCGAGGTCGCCTTAACGCGGTGGTGATGACCAACTTTCTCCTCAGACGATTCCCCCTCCTCATGACCGGAAGTAGCATCCTCCTCACTTCCGGCTGGCGAACCACCCCTCGTTTTTAGTTTGGGGCGAAGTGATGCCGTCAAATTGGAAGACTGTCTCGCACCAAAGAGGGGATGCGTACTTGGGATTGAGTGGTGACTATCGGTCACTTCCGGTTTCTTGTCGTCACCAGAAGTTGCTTGGTCGTCACCAGAAGTTGCTTGGTCGTCATCGGTGGAACGACGGACCGCGTGATGAGTCGAATTAGTGGCGCCAGATTTCGAAGCCAGATGGTGATCCTCATCGTTACGAACTTGTCCCCGCGTTACGGTGGCATTGTTGGGTTTAGCTTTGTCGTGGATAATACTTCCGGAAGTATGACTTCCGGTATGGATTTCAACCTCGGCGGGATGATCTTCACGTCGGAGGCGGATTTGTGCGGAGGAAGAAGTCGAATTATTTTTCCCTTTTGGTGGTCGTTTCGTGGTCGTGGTTCGGGTCGTGGTAGACTTAGAAATCGAGCCGCTGCTGGTCGTGGTGGATCGCGACGGCTTTTTTGGCGAACCGGGAGCGGACGTAGTGGAATTTGAGGGAGCCCCGAAAACTGAGACGGCACCAATTATCACGACCAGGATGACGAGGAAGATGGAAGATTTCTGAAAATTTTTACGAGAAAAAGAAACATTCAAAAATTTTTGTCATTATTTGTTTCGAAAACTGTAAATCTATGAATCACTTTATAATTTCAAATCTTTAAAAAACTATTTAATGACTCGGAACTAGTTTAGAAAATAGTTTTATTACAAGGATGATGAAAGTTTTCTGAAAATTTTAACGAGAAAATGAAACATTGTGATTTTGTTTTACTTTTTAAAAATTAATCTCCAACACCTTCAACGAGCGATGAATCTATAGGTCAGTAAATATCTTAAAATCTTTAAAAAAACTAATAAGCGACTCGGAACTTGAACTAAAATAGTTTACGAAATACTTTTATAGTGAGGGTATTCACGCACCCTTGGTAACTATGTAAACAGCGTAAAATCCGTAAACTTACAAACGTTTACAAACAGCTTCCCGTGAATTCACTTTCGCAATTATTTTCGTAAAAGTTTATCTGGTAGTTGAAACAAAATGCCGATCATTTTCAGAAAAATTAATGGAAGATTTGTGGAGCTGCATTTATTGATATACTAAATACCACGAACAGTGGAGGCTGTTCCTATAAAAATTTCCAAACCTTCCTAAATTCTAATCCTAAGCTATTTTTCGACTCCACACTAAATCTTACCTGAATATATAAATTCTTAGAAATCGGTATGGGTACCCCTTCCTCATTGCGCGTCTGGTTATTTTTTGTTCATCTTTGACTTCATATTCTTTCATGAGAAGCTAATAAGTATCACCGTTCCGAATTTCAGCTTTTTGAGACAAGTTATGAAAATCGGTATGGGTCACCCAAACGGGTCCCGGATGTGAAAATTTTACCAATTTCACTTCATATTCTTCCATTAGGGGCCTTTAGCAGCCTCTATACGAAATTTCAGCTCGATTGGATGATCTGGAAAAATCGGTATGGGTCACCCCTTCGGGTACCTCCGGTTGAAAAATTTTCCAATTTCACTTCATATTCTTTCATTAGGAGCCACTAGCAACCTCTATGCCAAATTTCTGTATCGAACAATTTTTTTTCTTCCCCAAATTGAGTTTACAAAATACTTTACAAAATTATAAGACGCCCCTGAGCTGCGTAAGTTTACAAAAGTTTGTAAACTGATTTTCCTTGGCAATTTTTGTAAAAGTTTGTAAACGTTTGTAAGTTTACGGATTTTACGCTGTTTACGTAGTTACGAAGGAGGGCGTGAATTGCCTCAGTTAAAATAGTTTTATAAATATTTTAAAATTCAGTAAAAATTTATCAATTCAGTAAACTTTTAAATTTAAAAAAATTCAAAGATTTGAAATATAAGGAAAAATCGTGCAAAATTCTTGCGAATATGTGTGTGTGCATGGAGTCTAATAAATTCCAAAAACACGGGATAATATCCAAGTGAAACAAAGCTGCAAGGAATTTACTAGATTACAAATATCGGAGTAAATCGGTTCATTATTCTACCAAAATACATAGGATAATTAACTCATTCGTCTTTATGAAATTGTGTAACGAAGGTGTCGCCAACAAAAATTTAGAATTTTATTCAATTGATTGTACAAACTGCAGGTGTCAATTTCTCAGGATAAGAAGACTAACTTAACAATAACTGTGTAAAATAATGTCCAAGAAATAAAATTAGCGAGCAAAAATGCTACACTATTTTAAACTTTTATGAAATCTACTCAACACTCGGCAAGTTATTGAGTTTGTTCAATTTGCGAAATTTCAGAGTAAGTCCAGTTTTTGTACAAAAATTTTTAAAAATAGATCGACCCATTTTTCAAATTAAATTACAAACTTGCCATTTTGCAGATTGCTTCCTGCGAGATTGGTAACTTGATATCTTGCTAATTTAATCACGTCTCTTTTTCCGCGTTCCTGTAGACAAAAAGTGGCTCAGTTCTCTCCTCGGGGGGAAAGTTTCATCTTTTTATATGCACTAAAAAATATGCTAATCCACCCGTTTCTGCAACCAATTTGCCTAATTGATCGGGATCCTCGCAACAAAGTGAGGGGTGACTAAGGTTGTAAAAAATACTGTAAAAGTGGAGATGACGACGGTGCTCCGAGGGGAAATCCACATCAGTTATCGTTACCGTTATGGATTTTGGTAGTTAAATTTTTTCTTACTTGGAAACAAATTTCTTAGGACACTCTAAATAGTGTGGTGAAAAAAACTGATGGGAAAATACGGTAGGAAAATTTGGTAGCGAAATTTAGTAGCAAAATCCTACAAAGTACGGTAGCAAAATTATTAAAAAAAAGAATTGTGGCAAAACCGATGCAAAAAGTGTTTTTTTTAATCGGGGTATTTGCTAAAGAGAATGAGGCAATTCACGCTGGCCTTGGTAACTTCGTAAAGTCTGTAAACCATTTAAAAAATTTCACAAATATTTAGGAAGGACAATTGCATAGCTCATAAATTTTTGAAAAATTTTGTAAATGTTGTAAATTTACAGAATTTACTTATTTTGCAAAGTTATTAAAGACTGCTTGAATTCCCTCAAAATGTTGATATTTATTTGTGTATATAATTTTACCAAGTTTTTAAAGTTCGTTATTTAAAAAAAAGACGGTCAAAATAGAAAATTAAATAAGATTTGGTAACATAATTTGGACCGAAGGGACCAAATGGTAAAAAATAAAATTTTAAAATAAATTTCAAGTAAAAATTCATCGCCTAGAATTTGATTGGTAGAAAATCAATATTTAACTCCCTGCCATTTTCGTCATTCGGTAACAAATCGTTACGAGTCTGTTACAATTTTTGTGCTTTATTATTTACAGTGTGTGTCACCCTGCGAGGTACTTTTCGTCTCGAAAACAGTGTTATGTCGTTGAGGTTGTTTTAATTTCAAATGTAGAAACTGAGTCAGTTAATTCCTTGTTGAAAATAGCTCTAATGATCATTTTTGATCTTTATTGTTTTGTTGCGTCCGACTGGCGACAGGTTAAAGGGACGATTACCATTAAGTAACAATTATTTATGGGATCCTGCAAAAAGCATTGGGTTCATTTTCAACACTCTTAGAAATCCAGTATTAAAATATTACCAAGCGGTGTTCATATATGATTCCGCAAAAGTGGAATTGATAAGTAATACTGGGTAGTAATACCTCGGTATTAAAGTTTTACCATATCGTCGGTAGCAAATTTTATAGACCAGTGCAATTGTAATACCAAGCGGTAGCAACTTTAATACCGAGAAAGAATACCTGCCTGACTATAGCAGATTTCTAACATTGCAGGCATTTTGACAAGTCTCATATGTCTCAACAATGTAGATAATTTAAATAAATTTGATTTTATGACATGCTTTACGCAAGGTCCTAACAAACATCTCATAAATTTACAGTAGTTTACAATTGAACTCTGATATTTTCATGATGCATTTTCAAGATGCAGTTCTAAGGATGCACAAATTAAAACAAATTATTTATGTATGTACGCTACTTTGTAAGCAAGTCAATTCAATAAAACTTGTGGACTTGAATACTGTTAAAATGACTAGAATTTAGGCAAGTCGCGCAGTCCTTGGTAACTTTGTAAAGGAAAACGCGTAAATTTTTTGCAATAATTTTACAAACTTTTACAAAATAAAGACACCCTTGATCTGAGTAAGTTTACAAAAATTTATGGGCTAGTTTTCCTTAGAAATATTTGTAAAATTGTGTAAAAGTTTGTAAGATTATGGATTTTACAATGTTACAAGAACTGCTTTAGAGGAAAATTAAAATTGTTAGTTTCATTCACACAGTATATGTATCCGACAAATCTGAATTATTTTTCATGACATGTAAGAATTTTACGAATATATATTTAGGCGTCGTAATTTGCAAATTATTTCGTGACGTTGTTCTCTTCTGAGGCAGTTGCATCTACAAAATAAATACTTTTTACATTTTGTCATGATAATTTTTTTAATTTTATAAATTTACCAATCAATATTATTCAATTTATGCAGGATGTCATGTCAACGTTGTAACCTACGTGACTTTGTTAGGTTTATAAGCTTACAAACTCTTGACGTGAATTGACTTTGTAAACATTTTCGTAACATTTTTTGCTAAAAAAATGTCTCGTAAGCGGAACCTATAGATAGCTACCCTCATTTCAACACAAAATGCAAATCTCAAACACCCGAATTATTTACGAACGTTTGTTTACGAACCAAAAACATGCTTTTGTAGTTCGAAAGTTTCATAAAAGTCGGTAAATAAAATTTCCTCAGAAATGTGTGGAAAAGTTTGTAAACGTTACGAAGGTTACAAACTTTGACATAAGTTCCCTATATTTCACTTTGTAAGTAACTCAATAAAATTAAACTTACACCTTAAAAAACACATACAACAAGGTACGTTTTAAATACAGATTAAATATAATAAAGTTACAAAAATTTAAACTCAATTTTAGCACAAAATTAGAAAATTTTTGCACACAAAATAAAAATTCGCAATTGAAAAAAAATCGTATTCTAAACCACACCCACAACAAATAAGCAGTTTTAAATATGTACACATTTAATATAATAAACTGTAAAATTTTAGCAAAGTTCATAGTGAAGGTTTTCACGACCTTTTTAACTGTGGATTTGCAAATATTCGACGATTCGTGAAGGGTTGAGGTGAAACACCTTCGTAAACAAAATTTTCGGACTTTTAAAAAAATATCTGTAAGTTTTTACCAATTCGCACCAGTAACTATGATGCTTGAAATATTCTTATATACGAAATATTTTTACAGAACAAAAAGGCGCATCACAAACTTTCATATATTTATTTATCGTTGGCAGGTGCGAAATTTTCTTAAATGTCGTAAATTTACGCTACAAATCTGTATTTACAAAGTTTACCGCAGTACGAGTTGACGTAAATGAAAACCCTCCTCGATAAGGTTTGAAACTTGTATGTCCGTGAACATGCCGAGTTGGGGCTTAAAAATAGTAAGATTGCAACGGATCTTGGATTTCACATCCGCGTACGAGCCAATTTCCTGAATTGGCTCGTTTTCCTCGCGAAAACGGACTTTCTCCTTCTCTCACACAAACCGGGGGCTTGGCAAGAAGGATGCGATTTAAAATTGTGACTCATTTTGGTAGGAAAATCTCATTAACTTGTTTAGTTAAGAGTGTATATTGAGAAAAATTGTGTAATTAAGTGATTTAAGCACTGTCCCAATTTTTCACAGGAGTTGCATATTTATTTTATGTAAATCTTCCCAATTTTCTAGATGACAATGGGTGAAGGATGACGAGGAGACAAAGAGAAAGCATAATGGCCAAAGTTTGATGGGGGTCGTATAAAATGCTTTTGTATGTAAAGTGCGTAATGCAACTCGGTCAATGCAATGGAATAGTTCGCCAAAAGTGAGAAGATCGTATCCCGAGTGACTTGATTTTGTGTCCTGGATGTAAGCAAAATTTGGTAAAAACTGAGATTTCAAAACAGTACCTTAAACTGAAATGTGTATAAAAACCTAAAATTTTAAAGTATCTATATCAGGAATTATACAGCTTGAAATGTTCATGCGGCATCACACCTTTGAAAAATAATAATCTGATCCAATTATAAATTGTAAACTTGGCGTCGAAGATATTCATTTTGGAGAAATTGTGATCAGTTTTTTTTACTCGTGTATAAAAATGTATACGAAGTCCTATTTCGTACTTTTTGAAATTTGTTACAAAACAAAAACCGAAATTTTAAATTATGCCGAGCATTTACGTTGGAAGTATCTTCGTCAAGAAATATCAATTTCTACAGCATGTTAAAATCACACGATTGACGTGGAACTCATACATTTTAGAGAAATTATAAACCGTTTTCATAATTTCATGTAGAAAAACAAAATCTTATTTTCCAAAATTTGTCATAGTTTCAAAATTATAATTTCATGTAGAAAAACAAAATCTTATTTTCCAAAATTTGTCATAGTTTCAAAATTAAATTATCTTTAAGCTGTGATAGTAACGTATTCTCGTCAATTTTGCCACGCTTTCTTGCAGTACAGATAATCTTGCCAATAAATTCCTGCATGCTTTATTCGCAAATATATTTGCGAGGTTTGTGAAATGTATCCAGTTTAATTTCATTAATCGAAGCCTCTCCAAATAATTTTTACAATTTCTTCATATTTCTCTAAACTATAACTCGTGCATTTCCTTATCTTAATGATTTATTATAAGAGACGATTAATTTTCCGAAAAAATTGAATTCAACCTTGAAATTTTCTTCAATAAAATCTTTACGAATCTTGACGAAAAAAAAGACGCCCTTGATCTGAGTAACTTCACAAGAATTTATGAGCTAATCTTACTTCCAGATATTTGTATAATTTTATACGTCTACGGATTTTATAAAGTTACAAAGGCCTGTGTGAATTGTTCTATGTGAGAATCAATAAATTCAATCAATATTCCGGCATGTTCGATTCGAGAATAAATTTGCGAGGTTCTTAAAATGTGTGTACCAGTTAAATTTCCTTGTTAGAAAAATCGTCCAAAAATTGTGTTTTAAAATCACGTCCTATTTCTCTGCTCTAAGCAATAGAGGCTTGTGGAATTAAATTAGTTACACTTGTTCACTAATTTTCCCAATTCGCCGTTGAACTTTTTTAATTTTGTCGAATACTAAAACTATTAGTATTATTACATGTATTTAGATAATCACGGATAATTACTAAAAATGCGATAGGGTTGAAGTGCAACACTATAAATAGTGACATTTCCCATAATATCATTCTCGTCTTTCTTTATGTTGGAAGAAATTTAAAAATGTTTAGTTTTTGCTGTTATTTGCGATGTTTGTGGAATGAAGTGGAATATAATTTTTTTCTGTTTTTTGCTCCTTATTTTGAGTCATTATTAAATCAATAATGGATTTTGTTAATTTATAAATATCAAATCGAGAATTAATCGATGCAATGTTTTTAACGGCGAAAAAATTGTCACATTAACGTTCTTCAGTTTTGGAAATAAATAAAAATTCTGAGCTACGTGGTCTCAGTATTTCCTGTTTTCTGCACAATTCGTAAAATTTTAAATTAAGTGTAAGTCCTGTTAGATAATTTACAAAGTTTGGAATTATTTCATTCCAAAATCAGGTCACAAATGAGTATACTCTCACGCTTAAAATAATTTTACAAAATTTGGGAATATTTAAGCGTCGTTTACAGTATTTATAAATATAATTGCAACGATGTTGCAGCTTAGATTTAATTCCGGATGCCTGGGTTTTTCGTTTCGTAAAAATTTATAAAGTTCCTAATTTTTCGTTTATTTTTTTAAATGATACTAATAGCTCATTGAATTTCATTATGAATTCAGACAGATTTGCCGGAATATGTTTTTACGTAATGCTTATTATTCTGGACACATCTAATAATTTATGTTAGGCGTACTCAAGTTAATATAAAGGGCATACTCACGACAAACATCTTATTTCGCAGCCCAACTGATTTGGGAAACTTGCAAAGATCAAAATATTTCTGTCGTGAGGGGATTTGCAAAATATGATTTCGCAAAACTCTCCAATCTCACAAATCTAGGATCTATAATTTCTCTTGATGGCGATGGTGAGGATGAGTTTGCGAAATAATTTTGCGAAATAAGAACATGTCCAATTGTTGGGTAAATTTGTGAAAAAGAATCGAATGGTTTTCCAGCAAAATTTTTGCGAAATCTCGCATATCTCGCAAAACTTCGCAAGTTATGTTGCCATGCTCAATTTGCGAGATATGCGAAATATGCGAAGGTTGACGTGAGTATAGCGTTACGTGTAACGTTTTTTTTGCACGCTCAATATTATATCGCATCGTAACCAGGTTTAGAAAGAGTTTGTGTATTAATCTTCCCAAGAACGTAAATAATCAAATTTTTGCAACCAAATTTTTATTACACTTTATACAAGTTTTTTAAGTTAATTTTTAAATTTGAAATTTAGCATGATTTTGACACCGTATAAAAAATATTACTTTTGATATTCCGCTAATGAAAGAAGTCCAGGTGACATCTCTATTTTTTGTGGCTGAAAATGTTGTAAATTTGTCAAGTTGCGTTTATCTCCTCAATTTGCAAGATTTGCAGCTATGATAAAAAAAAGTATGTAGTCGCCCACACTAATGTTAATGTTTTTTTTTATCATATTTCTAAAATGTTCAAAAGTGCTAAATCAAAATTGTCAAGATCTTACGCTTATCTCAATAATTTTAAAATATGCATAACTATGTTAAAAATTAGGTCTGTAAGTACAAAAAACTGGGCATAATCAGGTTTACGTCAGGTCGCAATTTTATCTTCCAAATTTTTTACACCAAAGTAATATGTGAAAATATCTAAAATTATATAACTAATTGACTTAATTCGTAAATAGCGTAAATGATATCACTTATTAAAACCATGGTTATCAAGTTGTATTTATCTGCTCAATTTGCCAGCTATAACAAAATATGCAACCAAAATTATTTATTGAGTGTGCTCATTACTAGAGTTCGCATGTTCGCGTCGTAATATAACTTTTTAAAATATTTTGCGAACTAAATATTAGCCCTGGAGATGGATAAGTTCAAGCCACTTTTTGCGAATTTGCGAACTTTATTTTCTGCCAACGTTACATTAAAATTGTCGAGGTTTTAAGTTTGTTTCTCTAATTTAAGAATATACGTAACTATTAATTGAACTATATTTTGAAAAAAATTCACCTCAGGTTGCAAGTTTATCCCTAAAACTGTACCAAAATTAAGACCAAATTAATTTCTTACAATAATTAACTACCTAATAAAATTAATTAATTAAATAATTTAATTGACTCAATTGAACACCTTATTGTGTTTATCCTAGTCAATTTCGTGGCCTTAAAATCAGCCGCTAAAATCTTCAGTAATCTTCACTAATTAGGTAAAAATCGATTATCAGCTTTCTCATTTTCCCCTCAAATTTCACTTTATAATCATTCACTCCTCGATCTTATAAAGGGTATGCAATCTCGACGAAAATACAAATCCGCCTGCAAACAGCGAGATATGTGGAGTTCCAGTCTAACCTAAAATTATTGTTCTTCTCATCCGAGGCAGTCGTACCTGCAAATATGTTTTAAACTGTCATCATGATAAATTAATCAATTTACCCATTAATTTATTATTTTTGCCATAAGCAAACTAATACATGTTATGCGGTAAAACCGCGGAAAAGGATCTACTTTTTCCAATACCTAACGTATTAATTCACAATCTATGAGCGCGAATTTTAAAAATCGCAAGATGTTCGTAGTCCAAGGTTGATGTCGAAAAATGTGTTAATCTAACTTGAAGCTTGTCATATCTGATTCTATTCAAATGTAGTTGGGAAAATTCAACAATATTAACTTTAAGCTTGTGGAGAAAATGAATACAACTTTTTGAAAATTTCAATGTAGCGCCTCAAAGAAGCCTTATTTCGAAAAACAGGTCCTAATGAGGGCACACCCCCTACATCTCAGGAATATGATTCAGATGAGATCCTGTCAAAAAAATCAAATTCGTGGTATGTTGTCTCAGTGAGAATGAAATGACACAAAATTTTGAATTTTCATGCTCTTGAGAAGCATTGTTTCAAGAAAATAATGTATACAATATTTGGCTATAGCCAAATGATCTGCGAATATGATAAGTTAATATTTGCAATGGTTCCCACCAACTGGGGGTATACTGAGATATTCAGAATGTGTTTTATTTAAAGGAATCTAAATTTTCAGAAAACCAGCGATAACTTTTCAAAGAAGGCGAATTTCGAAAACATGGTTATCTTGAGGGCACTGCACATTATCCTCAGGAATATGATTCCAGTGAGAATGACTCAAGAAATCGATTCTGTGAAAAATTTTCTCCAGCGAGAATGGAGCGCCCTCAAATATGACATTTTGAATTTTCCCGCCTTGGGGATGCTTTATTTCAAAAAAAGTTTCAAACGTTTGTTGTAGCCCAACTATCTCTGCATTTGACTCCGTCAATGGTTTTTGTCTATCTGTCACTCAGATCATTTGAAAAAATATTTTGCGTTGAGATCACGGCACAGAAATTATTGCATGTAAACGTGGATATTTCAAAAAGTTTTAGAAATTTTGAAAAACGGCATGCGTACCCTATCCCTCGATTTTAGAGATGGTCATAATGCCTTTAACCGAATTGCTCTATCTCTTAAGACGGACCCACACGAGCCCTCTCAAATTAACATTGGCTGCCGTGATAACATACTACCTCTTCCACATATACTTCCATGGTGCATGAAAGTAAATGGGGAAAAAAGTAGAAAAATAAACCTTGTGGACTTCAAAGTGTCTAAATTACTATGATTTCTATAATTGATTTGCACAAAATTCAAATCATTACCTAGTGAATTGAACTGTGAAATCTTTAACTTGTGATCTTGTGGTCTTGTGAGTATCATAAGGATCAAGAATTTTTATGTAAACTAAATTAGGCGTCGTAGTTTACAAGTTATTTTTTTTCGTCCGAGCCAGTTGTAAATATCTGGAAATACCTACGTTTTATATTTGTATTTTGTCATGAATGATAAATTAATCAAGTTTACCAATTTACAAAAACAAATTACCAAAAAAATCACAAAAAATTATTTGTTGTAACTAAAATACAAAAACAAAGACTCGTGTGCGATGAAATTGTATGAATGTTTTATATCGTCAAATATTAAATTAATGTTTGGAGAAGTCAATAGGTGTTTACAAAATGTTGACTTATAAGTATACCGACCACTTATAAGTCGTTTCCACTTTTAAGTGACACTGCGCGAGCATGCGCAGTAGCTAGTATTTCACTTATAAGTGATCGGAAAATAAGTCTCCTGGATTGACTTTTTCCTGGAATAAGACACTTATTTCGCTTGTTTTGAGCATCAGCTGCCGTTGAAATTTTACTCACTCAAATTTGCTGTAGGGCACTTGCTGCTCAATAAATTATTTTTCAATCGAGTTTTAATCTGTATTCAAGTTATTTAAAATGGTGCATAATTGAAATTGGTTTAATTACGATGGTGCAGTGAAATATTTAAAATGGGAAGTTCAAATGAGAGTTAAGATTAAATTTTCAATCATTCCACTTCATAAATATCATGTAATTTATATATTAGGCAAGAGTTCAAAGGTTGTACCTATTGTTGAAGTTTTAGGTCTTTTTAAAGCTACTATGTTTGTTTTTGCAATGATTTTGACGTTTAATGCAATTCGGTCGCCTGAATTGCATTCAACATAAAATTTAAACAAAACGTGGAGCATTCAAATAGAACCCACTTATAATTGATTTATAGAAATGACTTATAATTTGTGGGAAAACCAAAATAAGTCGATTGTAAACCCCTAATCTTATATGTTTCTACAAAAATTTGCATAAATTACCCTGACACCAGAATTTCCGAAAAACACTATTTCTTTGGAATTTTTTTAAAAACTCGATGGTATAATGTGGAAATTTTGGATATTTTTCTTCTCAAATTTTGGAATTTTCCCTACACTGACAAATGTATGAAAGTGGATTTTTCGTCTTTTTGTTCAAAAATTAAAAAAAATTGGAAACTAGGAGAAAATTTTGAATCAACATTATCGTACCGAAGGGAAACTTTATTAAAAAATCAGTAGTACGAACGAGGCTAAGAATGTGTATTGAGTAAAATTTATAATGTAATAACGCAATGCCTCAATTTTGCACATAACAAAACAGAAGCTGCCTAAATCTTCCCCGTTTTCTTGATGACAATGAGTGAAGGATGACGAGGAGACAAAGAGAAAGCATAATGGCCAAAGTTTGATGGGGGTCGTATAAAATGCTTTTGTATGTAAAGTGCGTAATGCAACTTTGTCATGGCATAGTTTCGCCAAAAATTGGAAGATCATGTCCTGAGTGGGTTGATTTTGTGTGCCGGACCAGGGCAAAATTTGGTGAAAATCGGAATTTCGAAACAGTACAAAATATGGAAACGAAAATTTCAAATTGTACAAGAGTTTGGACATCTAGAATGTA